AGAGATATAATTTTCTTAAAAACAAAAATGCTTTTTAGTTTGTAAAATCTGAATATAATATCGATTGTCTTAATTGTTTTTAGGTGGACTGACATGTTAAGACTCAAGTTGCTGTCACGTGGATTTTATCACCGCGCTGCTCAGTTAAGCCAGAAAGTTTCACAATRTACTGACATTCAACAAAAACATGCAAAGAATCTAAGGATTCTGTTTTTCGTGAATAGGTTTAACGGCCTCAGTCAACGAGTGGCTCAGGAGCTCAGAGAACAAAACCATGTCGTGGAAGTRCATGAGATAAGCGAGTCAGCCGAGATGACTTCTTTGCTGAATGCAAGCAAACCCGATCTGGTGCTTTGTCCCTTCTTGACCAAAAGAGTCCCTGAAGAGGTCTGGACCAATCCCAGCACCCCCTGTTTGATTGTGCACCCTGGAAGAGAGGGAGACCGCGGTGCATCGTCATTGGATTGGGCAATAAAAGAAGGAAAGAAGATATGGGGAGTGACGGTAATGGAGGCCGCTGAAGAAATGGATTCTGGGGATATTTGGAGTACTATGGATTTTGATATAAATCGCTCYAACATAAACACACTTCGAAAATCGAGTTTGTACGACCATGAAGTAACAAATGCCGCTGTCTACAACTGCTTACAGTCGGTGAAAAACATGATCGAAAAGAACRACCCCAGRCCCCTTGATTACTCTCTGCCGCATGTCAAAGGAAAGCTGAGGCGAAACATGAAGAAGAGCGATCGTATAATAGACTGGGAATTACCCATGGAAGAAGTTKCAAGGATAGTGCGCATGTCTGACTCGTCGCCAGGTGCTGTCGCTAAGTTACGACCGAAARGAACTGAATCTAAMTGGACAGAAGAAATGAGAGTGTTTGGCGCTCATCTTGAGGAAGATGCTCTTCGCAATGTTAAAGGCGWTCCAGGAGAAATCATCGGTCAGYGTGATGAGGCAGTACTGGTCAAGTGCGGTCAAGGGGCTGTGTGGATTTCACACATTAAGAAGAAAAAACTGAAGCTTCCAGCCACTTYCTGGCTGTCGGATTATGGACCATTTCAAGAATTGCCTTCTCCTGTAGTTGAGATAAAGTACAAAGAATTCCCGAGGACATTCCAGGARATCTGGACTACCGTATCTCCAGAAGGTGTTTGCAGTGTACATTTTGACTTCATGAACGGTGCCATGAGTACTAGCCAATGCAAAAGACTTCACATGGTCCTCAAGAATTTGGAACAGGATGATCGTATCAAGGTTATTGTTCTAAAGGGTGGATATGATTTCTTCAGCAATGGAATCCACCTTAATGTCATCGAGAGTTNAATTACTAGCAAAGGCAGCTTGAACCCTCGACGGTACGAAACAGTTTGGTTATTAAAAGAATATTAGAACTATCATATTGTTACTCTATACTGTAAGTATAGTAGTATAGAAATATGCTAGTCTCATTAACTCAGAAAAATGCTCACCAACAGAAAACAAGTTCAGGCCTTCGAAATCAGGTAACATCAAGGAATACCATATATGGAAGTCAAGCGAATGATATTTCGTTCTAAACTTTATTATTTAATGTTTCCCACAATGCACAATAATGTCATGGAATGTCGACATTAATAAATGCTCAGAAACAGTAGGAGGTTTTTGATATATATCATATGATATATCATGTATCAATGCATATGATTGCTCATGTACATTTTCTTTGATTTACAGTCATTCTGTCTCCCTCTGGACGATAATCCATAATTCGAAAATATCCACTTAGCCTTTTTAACGAAAGAATGGTTTAGTGTGACGTTATAATACCGCAGGGAAACTGACACTTCCTTAAGATAGACAATTTTCACGATCAATAAAGTTATTTTTAGAGTTATTACGTCATTTTAATAAAGTACTTTTTTTCATTAAGAGGTTAGATACGTCCGTTGCCGGTTCCGAGATAAATRGATTACTATATCTAACGGTCGCACTGCTGGAGGAAAATAACACTTTTTAGCTGTAGTGAAGTCATCAATCTGAATMGTTCCGGTGGGGGGTAGGGGAGCTGTATTGAAGTCATCAATCTGAATCCTGGCGGTGTGGGGTAGGGAACTGAACTGCAGTGAAGTCATAAATCTGAATCGTACTGGTGACAAGTTTCAATTGCTATTGTATTTTTGTAWTTTTTTTATGTCATGCTTAGCCGGAAAACWTAAGAGTCCACTGTATAAAAAAGTTACCCCACCAAAGTGGCATTTCAAACCCYAAAAATGTCGAGGGATCTCTACCCGTTTTTCAAGGGAGTCCTCCCTCGGGAATCGTCTGATCAAAGTAATAGCAGTCGAAAAATACATATTAGAAAAGTAAAACAAAACTGTAGTAATTTATATAACAACCTGAGCAATGTAAATTATTCTGCAACAACAAGCAAATTAAAACAAAGCGAAATATAAATCAAATCAAACAACAAGAACGCATTGTGATGAAACTAAAATGAAACTAAAAATGCAGTGAAAATAAGGAAAAGAATATCAAATAAGGACGGAAGGAAAGAAAAATGAAGGATTCAAATGATTGTGAAATTTGCTTTTTCATAGACTTAAATTTATGCTGATCAATGCGTAATGAGAAAGTTACTCTTTAGCTTTAAAGGTGGCAGTCTGCATGTACAAGCATGAAAACCGTCTAATATTTTATTATGTTTCCTCACTGATAAACTGCATGACCTATATGGATATACACGGATGCATTTGCAGCGTAGGAACTGAAGGAAACACAATTTCATTTGCCGACGCAATTTTTTCATATATAGTAAATTACAACGCATAAGAGTTTCCAAAACTAATCTGATTAAGAAATATGCTCCGCCAAACATCACATCAAGATGAGATTACATCCTGTGTGTGTAATCACCAGCTGAACTTCAGGCTTTAAGATATCTTAATTTATAAAGAAATGGATGTTGTGGGTGGACAGCCGTCTGGCTTGGGTGGACAGTCGTCTACCCCACATTGTACTTTTGTTTGCGTAGATTTCAACATTAAAATACGAAAAACTCCCAAAACTTACTACCATTTTGATGTGATTCTTCTTGTGCTGGGGAACATTTGTTATCGAAACTATTACTCTTTCGTAGTTCACTGGTTCACGCTRTGAGCTTAGTCTCCTTCTTGGTTCCCTGCGACTTCTTGAAATGTAGCTGTGGGTGTGAAAGTTTCTATCATCACACTCACAAATAATTGTTCACAGGTTTCTATCCTTGCAAGCTCAACGTTCGTCTTGCTTCGATGTAAGGGCACGGTTGCCTTTCAAGATGTCGCAGGAAATCGCAAAGAAGACTATTCAGACCATATATTGGATATTCGAAAWTTTTTTAAAGGAACTGCAATATACTATCATTCAACCTGATGACAGGCAACATTTTCGTGTTGATTTTCTTTCCAATTTTTTATTTTGTAAATGTAACCTTCCCCAAACTCCTATCTTGACTTTCTTTGTTCTTCAGATGATCTATCCCTTAACAAATTCTGCAATCCTGCGCATGAAAAAATTGTCAATTTGCCTCTCATTTATAATCACACTAATCTTTGATGTGCACGAAAGGTTTTAAACGTTAAAACTCGTCATGTTGCATAATCATCTTCTAAAGCTTGCCTAAAACGAGAAGTTATCAGTAAAATCTGATTTCAGAATTCTCTATTTACGTATGCGTTGTCATAGCTACGCCAATTAAGTTAAAATTAACATTTATCAAAACATCCATCTTTAATTGGTGGCTTTCTGGTGTTGAGGGCAGATCTGATCAGATCAGATTCCCGAGATGAAATGAAAAAAGTGGTTGAGAATTTACCACTGCGAACCACCTTAAAAACACATCAATTATATAAAGTACATTATATTTTACCGGAGACGAGAAAAAAACAAAACATGCTCACCAATACCGAACAGATTAACGTGTTCAAGCAATAAAGCGGTTAGATTTTCATCTAAATGAGGCCCTCATATTCATATCAGTGTGATATATCGCGGACATATTTCTGTCTACCGGCGTCTGAGATGAAATATTAAGGTCACCGCGATAGAAGTGTTTTCTGCAATCAAAATTCATTAGTTGGGATAAATACTCGAATGGAACTGTAAAAGGATGAGGAGATAGTAAAACGTTTCTAAATTATCAACAATAAAAGGTTATTCTTTAAAAACACACGGTTTACATCCTGTTTATCAATGATTGTCGTGCACTTAGTTCGACATAATGGAGTCAGTCAGTCGAGAGCACGTACAGATTGTTTTTTACCCCTGTTGTTTCACTTTGTATGAGACTGTGTACATTTTAGAATCATGCATAGTCTCCCAATATGTCTTATTCCTTATTGACACTTTATTACAAAAATGCTTTCATAGATAGAGAAATAGAATATTTGGAGAAAGAAAGAATAAATAAATTAAAAAGAGAAACAAGAGCTAAGATTACTAAGTCCAAAGACTTTCTTTTTTTYAATTCATTCTTTTTTYATTAAAGTAGTGCAAATGTTCTATTTCAGCTATGACAACTGAATATTCTTGCAATCAAGTAAAATCTAAAATGATTTTAGAGTCATAGAATCAGGTCCAAAGGGCAAAATGACTGCAAACACTAAAATCAAGAAATAAACACTATTCGGTAAGTACTTTTCCGTGCTTAAGGATAGTATTTGCACTCTCAAAACCCGTAACTATTTTTTATGCTAAAAGTGAAAGGTTTCTTGGAAGACGAGGAGCATATTGGTTACAAGACTTTGTCAAAAACATTTGATGAGCAAGTGATTTGCGCATGCTCTCATCTGATATGTTGAGACATGCCGCTGCTCCGTCGTTTCAGAGTTTCTATTAATACATAAAACTCTGGAAACTGTAGTTGTTGAATATTCCTGAATTGCGCTGAATTCCCTTGTTTTTTTTGGCTAATCTACACTTTATTGCGCTATTTACCACTGTTTGTTCAGAACTTTTTCACGCTTTTGGTGTTTACAGTTTAGTATAAGAAAACAAAATAGTATTACTAATGTTTCACGCTTTAAATATATATGCACTCTTTGTGAATCAAAATGTTTTCTAATGAAGCTAATGAATTTCATAATTTTGTTTACGACGAAGCAAATATGTTTAGKTTGCCCAGCGTGAAGTCCCAGCAGTGCTTTACCTCCTTGCGCCGCGAGCTTAACCACGCCAAKAWTTTTTAACCACTACAAAACAGTCCAAAATGTTTAAAAGCGTCTATTTGAGCGTTATCTAACCATAACCAAGTTGAAAGACGCATTGTAAAGTTTAKGTTTTTTGTGTAAACATTGAAAGTTTTATAACTCCACTGATATACAGCTATTTCAAAATAGACCGATGAATTTTAGAACACTCGGTTTTTACGAAAAGATATCCGGCAGAATATCGAGTTCATCGCATCAATGATGATATTATGTCAAGTTTTCAAGGAGATCGATCTTAAATTGTCGAATATATGATTTCAAAACTATTTTTGCAAAGAAATGTTTGAAATTATTTTGTTTTCATATTTATCAAGTATTTCAAAATAACATTTTAGTGTGATAAAGGTCTATGCCAAAGGGAAGAGATTGCATGACCGAAAGAGTCTATGGTAAACATTGTTTCTTAAGTTATTACAGTTAAATAATTTTAATAATTTAATATTTTTCTTGTCTTATCCATTACTTGTATGAATACTTGTATGTATTAAATGAGTGTAAATGAATTTTGAATTTGAAAAATTTCACTTTTTGAGTTCAGTCATCTTACGTGCAAATGGCTTAAATGGCGCCAGTGTTTGCCACAGACTATCTTACAGTATAAATCAGTTAATATTTCCGATCAATTAGCAAAACCCATGGCTCCTTTCGGTCATGACGCATGTAATTAAAGTTCACCGTTTTGTCCGAAATCCTCTTTTTGATTAGGTATGCACTTAGGAAAAAAACGTTTGGGGAGAACGTCGAACGGCGATTTCTCGAAGGGAGATTGCACGACTGAAAGGAAACGATGTTTTGACAAACTTAATCCATAGCAAGTGTTTAACAGAGATTATCTTATAAATGAGTTATTAATATTATTTCCCTTCAAATAGCAAAACCCATGGTTCCTCTCGGTCGTCCAATCGACTTTCGACAATTAACATTAGCCATGCATTTTCAGTATTCGACAACCTATCTTGAAATGGGTATATATATCGTCAAATCAAATGATCAACAAAAACATCACGTGCTATGATGAGATATAGATGAAGCAGGCGTTCTCGGTCATTGTTCATTTACAAAATTATGTGCCAAAAAATCATTATTTTATGATTTTTGTTGTTGTATAGTGTTTTTACTTTCCTTACAAAACTTCACAGCTTTAGCCAATCAGAAC